AAGCCCCAATCTCAACCCTTTCTTCGGCCCACAGAAAGCCCCAATCTCAACCCTTTCTCCGGCCCACAGAAAGCCCCAATCTCAACCCTTTCTTCGGCCCACAGGAGGACCAGAAGAGCAAGGCGGACACGGGCATGAGTGGCGCGTGCGGAGACCTCGGCGAAGCCCCCAAGATGCGCGCACAGTGCAAGAGGATGTGCAAGGGACACATCAACAAGGTCAACAGTGTCCACTTCTCTGGTGACAGCAGGTAAACAACGGCGTGTGTGTGTGGTGTGTGTTGTTTGCTTGTATTTATAGGCATACATATGTACGTGTGTTTATGTAGACATGTATATATGCATGTACGAATGTATACATCAGTTTACACATCAATTTTGTTTAATATTCTGTTTTCTTTCGCTCTCTCCTCCCCTTCGTGGTACCCGTCGTCGCCTTCCCCTGCCCCTCCTTCAGACACTTGGTATCGGGGTCCCTGGACGGCAAACTCATCATTTGGGACATCTTCACCGGCAACAAGACCCAGATTATTCCACTCAGGTCAGCCTGGGTCATGTCCGTGGCCTTCTCGCCTTCGGGAAACCTCGTCGGTAAGTCATCTACTAGAGAGAGAGAGAGAGAGAGAGAGAGAGAGAGAGAGAGAGAGAGAGAGAGAGAGAGAGAGACCCACATGCTTTTTAATCTGTTTGTGCATACGAAACGTGCGTTTTCATATGAAAAATTATGTTTTTAAGTATATGTGTGTTATTTTCTTATACTTCCATACATGCTTTTTGCGTTATATTCAAATCATATGTATGATTATATATCCCTTTTCTACCTCTATAAACACCCACTGTGTGTGCGTGCGTGAGTTCATGTGTGTGTGTGTGCATTTATCTTTTTTATGCACTTGCTACCTCACTTTCATGTATATTTATATGCTATGTATACAATGAAATGCTCTTCATTATCACTATCTATCTGTGTTCATGTATTTGAAAAAAGAAACATTGATTATCATTAATCATTTATTTGATAATACTATGATATCATCATCAACGTTTATATGATTTTTAACTTATTTTAAGTATCCATATAAAATACGATTATTATTACATTGCATTATCGTTATCATCATTTTATCCTCACACGATATCCTCTTCACACTTCCTCTTGCCCAAACTTCTCTATTACTCCCCCTTCCCTTTCCCCCTTCCATATCTCTTCCTCCTCTCCCCCTTCTTCATTTCTCCCTACCTCCCTCTCTCCCTCCTTTCACCCTCTTCCATTACTTCCTCCCTTTCATCCTCTCCCTCCTCCACTCTCCCTCCTCCTCCCTATCTTCCTCCTCCATTTCTCCCTCTCCTCCTCTTCTCCTCTCTCTCCCTCTCCTCCCCATTCTACCCTCTTCTTCCCTCCCATCACCTCCATCTCCTCCTCCATTTTCTCCCTCCTCCTCCTCTCCTCTCCCATTTCCTACCCTCCTCCTCCCTCCTTCTCCTCCTCCTCTCCTCTCCCCTCTCCCTCTCCCTTCTCCCCTCTCCTCCCTCCTCCTTCCCTTCTCCTCCTCTCCCTCTACCTCCTCCACTTCTCCCCTCTCCTCCCTCTCCTCCCTCCTTCCCCTCTCAGCGAGCGGCGGAATGGACAACCAGTGCACCGTGCATGACATCAACGACCGAGACTCAACCGGGGTCGCCAAAATCGCCCGTGAGATGCTTGGCTACGAGGGCTTCCTGTCGTCTATGAGGTTCCTGGACGACGACAACCTCATCACGGGATCCGGTGACATGAAAGTGTGAGTAGATGGGAGGTGGAGGTAGGAGGGGAGGGGGAGGGAGGAGGGAAAGAGAGGAGAGGAGAGAGAGAGGTAGGGTGAGAAGAGAGGGGAGGAAAGGGGAGGAGAGGGGAGAGGAGGAAAGGGGAGGGAGTGGGGGTGGGGGGAGGGGAGAGGAGGAAAGGGGGGGAGTGGGGGTGAGTGAGAGGGGAGGAAAGAGGAAGGAGTAGGGTGAGGGAGAGGGTATGAGGAGAGTAGAAGGGGAGATAGAAGAATTCCCAATGATATGGTCCTTCCAGCAGTGATATGACATCATCACCTGAGTCTCTCAATCTATAACAACACACACGACACGTAAATGTAAACAAATGACAACACAATCGACACTTTAGATGCCACCACGAGCGCCCCGCAAAGGCCACCACAGACCCACCGCCCGACGCCCAAGCGAGAGCCCAGCTGACTGCCCCGCCTCCTTCCCCCCTCCCGCAGGATCCACTGGGACGTCAAAACGGGCAAGAAGGTGCACGAGTACTTCGGGCACTCGGGCGACGTGGCCACCATGAGTCTCTCGAGCGACCACAGCGTCTTCGCGACGGGCTCCGTGGACCGCACCATCAAAGTGTGGGACCTCCGGGACCCCAAGACGTGCAAGCAGACCTTCTGGGGACACACCTCCGACGTCAACTCCGTCTACGTGAGTCTCAGCTGGGAAGGGGAGGGAGGGAGAGGGGCGTGTGTGTG